CTGCAACTGCTGCTACTGCTACTGCTACTACTACTGCGACTCTGATACACTACACTACGACAACGATCACTATTATTGACTAGTGCTGACTACTGCCACTAGCTCCCTCAGGGTTGTCACTTTTGACAGCTTACAGAGTTTGAATGAAAAAGTTTCTATCCCCAAAATGACAGAATGTCGCTTTAGGAGGCTTCGATCTCATGTCGCAAATACCCCAGGTCGGTGCGCAAGATCCAAATCCTGGGTGCCTTGAGCGGCAAAGCCACACGTCGGCAGAGCGCCAGGGCCCGAGCAGTCATTTAGGTCCGGTGGAAAACAGGGCTTTCAGTGTGAGTGGTATTGACGGGATTGCGGTTCACTCATGCAAGCCGTGTCCTCCTGCCGACGAGAGCAATCATCGCAGGAATATTTGGCAAGCCGGGTGGCAGTGGCTGGGTAAGCTCTACGGAATCGCCGGGCTGTACAGAGAGAGCGGCTTGCTTAACATTGCACATCGCCAGCATCACCACCCATCGTGAGCGCTGCAAGAATCAACCAGCACACAAGCGCACCTCACAATGACTTCTTGGAGTGTGAGCCGAGGTTGCAGTTCGGAAGAAGGCGAAGGACACAAAGGAGCCTCACACCCAGATCCTTGGTCCGGCGGTTGGGGTCTCAATGCCTTCCCTTCGGATGTCTTTGGACTGTCAGGAGATACCCGAAGTAAGCTGCCAGCGCTTGTGCTCAAGAAGTGCTGGCATCGTAGGAGAACAAGATCTTCCACAAGGCCCAGAGTGGGGGAGCGAGAGGCTGCAGACTTGTGGCAAAGACTGTTCCATGAGAGCAGTTGTTTGACAAGCAGGCGCAAGCATGACGGTACATGTTGCATTCCTGTGTGACATTAAGTTGCTCCTTCGTCTTCCTCCTCGTTCTGTTGCACCTGTTCACACTGATGGAAACGCCGCCATGCCTACCCAAGCCCATCAACAACTTGTGAGGCTGTGGAAGCTCGTCTCAGCCCTTCAGCTACAGATTTACCCAGCTTGACTCTCTAGCACGACAACGTCGATGTCACAGATACGAAACACAGGCTTCCGCGCAGTATTCCGGAACTGATACGGCATCATGATTGTGGTGTGCATCACGATCTTTGATTTTCTGATGTCTCGCACCACTGCGATATTGTCCAAGAGTCTGTGGATGCTGGCAATTGCAGACGTGTGGTGGAGGCGAAAGCGCATTGACTTCTTACTGCAATCACGAGCGAGTGCAACGAAGTCGGGTCCGAACCGCGTCGATCCCTGCCTCAGGCTGACTTTGAAACTCACACCACAGACTTTCTCTCCCCGTACATATAGCCACACACATACGTAAGTATACATATATGCATATATATATATATATGTGCGTACATGTACATATACAGTTATATATACATATGGTACCCCCCCCCCCCCATGGATCTACCGTTTTCGTGTGCTGGACCGTTTTCGTGTGCTGGGTACCCCTGGGTACCCCCCCACCACACGAAAACAGTAATCCTTGAGGGGAGGGGCCCCCCACC